TAATGAAATGTTGTTGGACCTTAATAGAATAAACTAGTTTTGCCATTTGACTTAAACCCACACCTAATAGATCCAGAAAATCCTAAAAAGTGGTCAATTTCTTTTACTTAAAACAGAATAAATTGTTCATTTGATGTAAACAAGCCTGTTTTCTTAAATGACAACATATCACAGAAGCTATTTAAAAGTATTTAGTTTGTTTTTTATGTACCTAAAATCAATTTTTTGTTCATCTAATTTGATGCAGCCACTAGAACTGTGTCAATATCCTTCAAATGATAAAACAAGTGACTTTTTTAATGAATAATATTGTGTTTGATCATTTCCTGTATACGTTTATGACAGGAAACAAATCCTCTGGATTTATGATTATAGTTTACACATTTTTGTTAATTTTGAATTTGTCTTTCATGAATTTGTACAGGAAGTGATCAAACTAAATTGAGTAGAACATTTTATTTGTTTTGTAAACCCCTGATGACATTTCTTCTAAATTATAAATAATAAAAAAATAAAAAAATACATATTTTCATGTTGTATAGAATTTTTCAGATGAGTTCATACTCTTATTTAGATAGCACATACCAGTGTATGACCTTCAGAATAACTAAGAAAGCCATGGTTTTCAATCACAATTACACAATTACAAATATTTGTTCATCTTGACCAATTTCATCAATTTTCCTTTAAAAAAGCTCTAAATGACACATTTTCATTAGAAAGTTGAACGAATTGTTGTCATATGTTGACCTTCATAGAATATAACTAGTTTTGCCATTTGTCTTTTTTTTTTTTCTCATAACACGGAAAAAAAATCTTTCATTTGATGTAAACAAGTCTGTTTCTTTGAATAACAACAGAACACTTTCACCCATGTTTTGGCATTTTCACAAAAGATGTTCGTTTTCTGTGTACCTAAAATCACTTTTTGTAAATCTAATTGGATGCAGCCACAAAACAAATGTCAATGTCCTTTAAATCAAACAAAAAGTGACATTTTTAATCGATCAAATTTTTAAAAAAAAGTTGTTTGATAATTTTTTAGACTTCTGTCACATTTATGACAGAAATTAATCAGTTTTTCTGGATTTGTGATTATACACTGTAAAACCCAACAGTCAACGTTATCAAATGAAATGTGTGTAGTTAACTTAAAATTGACTGATAGTTAATTCTACTCATTTAAAGAGAATTCTAACCTCAGAGTTGAAAGTAATGAGTTAATTAAATATCTCATTACTTCAACTTAAATGGGGCAAGTTCACAGTACTCGTATAGATTAGTTTTTAACTCGAATGGTTTGCAGCAATCAGTTTCCTCAAACAGTTTGAGTTGCCTTAACTTATTGAGTTTGACAGTACTTGTGGTACTAGTTGGTTTGAGTTCTCTTCATTTATCGGGTTTTGTGCTCAAATTGCTTCTTCTACTCAAATATATTAAGTTCATAGTACCCATGAGGATTAGTTTTTGAACTTAAATAAATAGTTTGTTGCAGTCGGTTTCCTCAAATGGTTGCTACCTAAACTTTTTTGGTTTTACAGTGTAGTTATCACATTTGTGTTCATTTTGAATTCGTCTTTTATAAATGTATGCAAGTGAACTAAATTGAGTAAAAAAAAAAGTTCCGCAAACTACTGATATTTTTTCTTAACAAAAAAAATAACAATAATATTTAATAAACAATTAATAAAATTAATAAATTGTTATTTAGTAATATTTAATAAAGCCATGGTTTTTAATCACAACATATGCAAATGTTTGTTTATCTCAACAGATTTGTTCAGTTTTCTTTAAAAAAAAAGCCTTAAATGACAACATTTGTATTAGAAAGTTGAATGAAATTTTGCCAGAGCTTTTATGGAATAAAACATTTCACTCAAGCCCACACATAAAAGATCCAGAAAATCCATGTTTTTCTCCATAACACAGAATAAATCTTTTATTTGATGTAAATAAGCCTTCTTTCTTGAATAACAACAGAATGTTATTTCTCTCATATTTTTGACTCTCCACAAAAGTTATTTATAATATTTAGACATTTCGTATGTTTTCTATGTTCACTTTTTTTTAAATCTAATTTGATGAAGACACCTTCTATTCCTAATCAAAAAATAAATCACAAAAAGAGTGGTGTAACCTCCAGGGTATTAGGACCATGAAGTGTTTTGTTTTTTTGTGTGTCATCTTCCTCCACCTTCCCAGCCTTCCCTGTGGGGGAGCAGAAGTGCTGCAAGCCACCGAGCCAATGGGAGAAAGACAATTCAGTCAGCAGAAGTCAGAAATGTTGAAAAACCTGTCGTGACAGTCAGGGTGAGTTCCCTAACAAACACACACACACACACACACAACACGCAAGAGAAGAGTCTGCCAGTGAAACAGCTCAGGTCATGGTCAGCGCTTCACTTCAATTAATGCTTTTCTGATTCACACACTTTCTGCCATGGGGACTTACTCAGACCAGAGGGAAGCGTACATGCAAAATGGGTAAGTCAAAAGTTTAGCACTGTAACATTAACATGCTCACATATGGAGTGTTAAAGTTAAACTGACAGCTTTGTCATCTTTTAGATTATAAAAGCTCGTACTGTATGAACCTTAAATGCGCTGGTTGAATCAGAGACTAATGTATGACTTGTAAAGTCTGGTCGTGGTGTTGGACATGAGAGAAACCCTTCTGCCACTTCTGTGTCTGTTTGTTTAGAAAGAGGATTTTAGAAAAAGGAAGTTGCCGTTGAACTGATTTCCTGCACTTTTGTCAATCTTCTTGGCTCATATTTGAGGGCTGATAACCACAAAGTTATCAACACTTACATGCTGTACTCTGACAGACAATAATGATTTCACAGCTGCTGAAAATGCAAATACACATGAATAAAAATGACCAGATTTTACAATAAAGGATTTATAGCTGTTATGAGATAAACAACAACAAAAAAGTTCATTTAAATAGAAAAGCTTGAAAACTTTACAACAATAGGGATTTCGCAACTGTTATTATGCACTAAAATGATCATAGAAATAGAAAAATGTTAGAATGCTATATAATAATGAAGTTTTCAGAGGTGTCATGAGCTTACACAAATGCTTCAGATTGTTTTCAATGTCAAGGGTTTTAGAGCTGTTATGAACTAAAAAGGGTCATGTAAATGGAAAAATGTATTTATGATAAGGGTTTCAATGTTGATACGAATAGTAAATTCTTATAGAAATTGCAATAATTAATAAAAAAAATAATCATAAATTTCTGATTCGTTTTATAGGTATTTATAAGAATGTTTCATGCTGTTAAATATATATATATATGTGTGTATATATAATGTATGTATATATATATATATATATATATATATATATATATATATATATATATATATGTATGTATACACTCACACACACACACATATATACATACATACATACATACATATATATATATATATATATATATATATATATATATATATATATATATATATATATATATATATATATATATATATATATATATATACATACATATACATATATATTTATATATACGTGTGCATATATGTGCAATTTTATAGTTATAGTTAATAAATAATAATAATAATAAATATTAATAATAAATATTGCATTATAGTGGTTTTACAAAATGTTTTTAAAAGTAATAATAGGAATATTGAATTCTTTTTAAATATATATGTTTTCAATATATTTGTCTCGATATATATGTTTTTATCCGCACAAAAAAACATTTGTATAGGTGTAAAAACATGACACAACTTTACAACAAAATACATTTCACAGATTTAGCACAAACTCTCTGAAAACTGTACCTTAGTAAGTATTCATAATGTTTTAAGGGGAAATTAATTTTACTCCCATCCTTAAAATCTGATTTCCAAAGGCACCACTTCAAAAGCTCTTTATTATTGTCATTTATTTTTAGCTATCTAAGAGTGTAAATGGAGACTGTACGAAGCTTTTCTCCAATAAAACCACTGCCATAATCCACAGAATGGCTCTTTTGACTTGTTAATTTCCATACCAAATTCCAAGTTCATGTCCCGACAAGAAGAGAATGCAAGAAACTTAGTGTCATAAAACCCTCAGTGTTTATGTGCGATCTGACTTAAATCGAATAAATCCTTAATGCAGTAAATTACAGAAAGAGCAGATGACATGCTGGGACAAGGCTTTCCACATTACTAAATCTTCCAAGAGTTGCATCAAGAACAATTGCTGAAACAGTCCACACCTTCATGTTTTCCAATGGAGATATCATGTTGTCTGGCACATTGTGTCCTCAAAATACCCTACATATGTCTTAATAAACATATCAGATACTGTCTCGGTAATGACAACACTTCTTCAGATCAGTGTTTTGATGATGCATTGACATAATGTGTCAATTAATGCCATACAATATTATCATATTGCGTCAGCCAGCCTCTTGTGTTTCAGCACAGTCCTGAAATGATTTATAATCTGTGAGCAATCTTGCTGGACAATAGTGTATAGTGTTTGCATAAAGGTCACAGGTTTGAAGTGAAAACAATGGCATGGAGGTCTGAATGAGCCTGATAGTACAGACAGAAACAGGTAGTAGCAGTCATGTTGCTGACAGCATCACCTGCCCGGAATCAGCTGAAAACAAAACTCGATTTTCTGGTCATTTATGCCACGTGTAATTACCACAAACTGGATGGTACTGACGTGAAGAGGGTGGAGACAGGAGCCAATTTGATGTTTGGGTTTGCTGTATGTTTGACATGGTCTGTACACATGGGAACTGATTTGTTCAGTATTCCTAAAAAAATTAAATAAATAAATTATACACACACACACACACACACACACACACACACACACACACACACACACACACACATACATACATACAAATATATATATATATATATATATATATATATATATATATATATATATATATATATATATATATATATATATATATATATTAGGGATGTAACGGTATTGTAAATACCGTCATACCGCAAAAGCAATTTTTTTCAATATTACCCTAGTCGCATGACTCGATAAAACTATAGGTCTTCTGAGAAAATTTGCTCAGGCGAATGAAGCGAACGAGGGGTAGCGGAAACTACAATTCCCATCAGCCCAGGCGTGGCCATCATCCTTTGCGGTCTGTTGTCGCTACAGATCCAGTAATGCGGAAATGGAGTGTGCTGCTAGTAGAGGAGATGAAAAAGAGCTGGAAATGATCGAAACTAAAGCGGGTTTTAAATCGGATGTGTGGAAGCATTTCGGTTTTCGGGGGGTTGAGCGCGCATACTCAAGAGCGGTGTTGTCGCGCGCCTACTGAAGGTCGGGACGGAGGGTGTGTTGTGTTGCGGGGGCACTTTTGATCATTTTGGAAGGGCACTTTCTATCCAAGACTAAAAAGAGCATGTGCACTGCACAGGTTGAGCCCTATGTGTGCACGTGCCTGCAAGTTGGGGAATACGACTAATAAAAGTTATGGGGACTGCAGAAACACAGCACACTGTTCAGATTGATGCAGACATTGACTTGTACCGCAAAGAGACCTCTATCTCACTCATGGCTTGTTCTCTCAAGTGGGGGAAAGACAATGCACAATGTTACCCACTGCTGTCAGCCTGGGCCAAGTCATATCTCTTTCCCAGAAACCTCAGTCCTAAATGAGTTTTTTTCTGTTGCAGAGGACATTGTAAATGCCCAGAGATACCAGCTTTTACCAGATTATATTTATATGATAATTTTCCTTTAAATCCATCTCTATCTAAATGAGTGAGTGAGTGATTAAATGTTGAATGTGATGAGTTTTTAACAATACTAACAAAATTTTTTGTTATTAAAATTGAAAAGTTGAAGTTCCTGTTTCAAAGCTTACAGATAGATGGCTAATTTGTATGTCATTGACACTTTTGGCACTTTTTTGGAGTATTTTCATTAGTTTTGTTTTTCCTGTAAATGATTCAATAAATACTGTACCGTGCCATTCATACCGAGGTATTACCGTACCGTGAAATTCTGATACCGTTACATCCCCAATATATATATATATAGATATAGATATATACATACACACAACACTATGGTAGTCAGAAGTATTCATCTATTGGAGCCGGATCTCTGGAAGGCCACGATAAATTCTATAAGGGTTACAGCTGGAGCCATAAGTTAACCTTCCAGTTGTTTTCGGCTTCAAACAGTCTTGAATATTGTGCTTTACATCTGATTGCCTCAAGGCCTTATGATATTCTCTATACTACAGTTTTTGAGAAACTGTTATAGCTTTTCTTGAAGGTCAAGTTTACATACAGTAATTTTATTATGCCCCTGAAAAAGCTCAGATGATGATGTCAAGGATTTAGAAGTTTCTGATTGGCTAATTGACAACATTTGAGTTAATTGGAGGCACAACTGTAGAATAGTATTTAAGGAAAACCTCAAACACACTGCTTTCTTGTGTGACAACATGGGAAAATCAACAAGCCAGAATTAAAAAAAAAAAAAGCCAGATTACAATTTGCTAAATTACACTGAGGAAAAAGACACATTTTTGGAGAAATGTCCTGTGTTCTGATGGAACTAAGTTTGAACTGTTTGGCCATAATGACCAGTGTTACATTTGAAGGACAAAGGGGAAAGCTTACAAGCTTTGGAACACCACCTCAACTGTGAAGTATGGGGGCGGCAGCGTCATGTTGTGGGGCTGTTTTGCTGCAGGAGGGACTGGTCCACTTCACAGCATAGATGGAATCATGAAGAAAGAACATTTTGTAGAAATACTGAAGCAACATCTCAAGACATCAGCCAGGAAATTAAAACTTGGCCACAATTGGGTCTTCCAAACAGACCATGACCCTAAGCATACTGCCAGATTAGTTAAATGATCTCAATCCTATAGAAAATTTGTGGGCAGAGTTAAAAAAAAGCTTGTGCGAGCAAAACAGCCTACAAATCTGACTCAGTTACATCAATTCTGTCAGGAGGAAAGGGCCAAAATTCCTTCAAACTATAGTGAGAAGCTTGTGGAAGTATTCCCAAAACATTTGACAAAGGTTATACAGTTAGCAAAGCTAAAAAAAACAACAACTAGGAAATGTATGTAAACTTTAAACTGTCCAGAAATTATTTTAAAAATTTTCAACAAAAAAAAAAAACTCATTATTCTGGCATTTAGCAAATGGAAATGATTTAGGTAATCCTAACGAACCTAAGATATTAAATGTTTAGTATGATTTACCGTCAGACATTTTTTTTTAAATGGTTATGTTCTTTTTTTTAGAGTGTATGTAAACTTCTGGTTTCAACTGTATGCATTTGAACATATACAAGCAATAATCGCCTCTCTTATTACATTTTGAGTGTTACCAAAATTTACTGCCTTAGGAAATGAATGGGTATCTATCCAGATTATATTCACTCATCAGAAAAAAAACATCCCCATATACTGTACACCACCCCAACTCTTTCCACTGCACTTATTTTATGTCTAACTCTATAAATTCATGTTAAACGCTACTTTGTGACATTGTTCACAGCTAAAGAATGTTGTTTTGTGCTAATTTAAAAGCAAAGAAAATGAACAGGTCGATTTTGACCAGGAACACTAAAGTAAGGGGTTGAGCTGGAGTTGAGCATGACAGGAGGGTTAATACAATACAATACAATTACTGTACAACAATTACTGTTTTTACATTAGGATAGGGTTGGGTTTAGAGTAGGGGTAGGCATTAATAAAATAAAATTTAATGGGTAATTTAAAAAAATAATATAAACATTTTTCATTATAATTACTGTTTTTACATCACTGTAGGAGGTAGATATTAATAAAATACAATTTACTGGGTAAATTAATACAAATTTGTGTTATAATTACTGTTTTTACATTGCTGTGAGGGGTAGGCTTGGGGTGGGATTACACATCGATAACGTACAACTAATGGGTAATTTATTCAATGTAAATTTTAACTTCCGCTGCATCTGTATCCCTTCTACACTGTAAAAATATCGGTTAACTAACAGTTTCTATCTTTTGTAAGTCAGAAAAGTTTTCCATTTATTTACAGTTGTGAATTGCACTAAAGCACCTTTATCTCTGCTCTGTCGACTTTTGATGTTGACAATTCAACTCTACAGTTTAATAAAGTGACTTTTATTGACATTTTAGTAGTTTGAAATTACATGATGTATAATAAATAATATAGAAAAAAATAAATCAACAGAAAATGTACTGGCGGTTTATTACAAGCTCTTACCGTAACACCATCCCAGGGAATATATAATTTTAAACTTAAAAATCTAAATAAAAGCCACTTTTTTCAAAATTCTCAAGGTTAAAAGTTGTTGAAAGTAAGATCAATGTCCTATAATGCAATCCAAAAGCATAAATAAACAGGGAAAAATAAAAATATGAATCACAAAATTGAAAGTGAATCACAAAATTTGAAAATTGCAAATTTTCAGCCACAGCCCTGAAGATTTTACAGTAGTTCCAACCCTGCCTTTAAGTTTCAAACAAGCTTGAAAGACTTAATTCGTTTTTGCAGGTGTGTTTAGATATGGTCGAAGCTAAATTGTGCAAGGCTGTGGCTATACAGGACAGGACTTGGACACCCCTGATGTACAGTCACCTGCCACTGTTCAACTGTTCATTACAAACATCTAATCAGCCAATCACATGGCAGAAGCTCAGTGCATTAGGGATGTGCTCTAGAAAGATCTGAATGGATATTCAGTAGGTTAGTTCACACAAATGAAAATTTTGTTATTCGTATTCTCACCTTCATGTCATTCAGATCCCCTGAGATCTTTGTTCATCTTCAGAACACAAATTAAGATATTGTAGATGAAATGAGAGAGCTCTCTCATCCTGCAAATATAGCCCAGAGATGTTCACAGGCCAGGACAGGAACAAAAATCGTTCCACATCACATCACATCACTTCACAGTGTTTCACCTGTAATCATATAAAGCTCCAAAAAAAACAAAAAAACTTTAAAACGACTCTGTTCACTAATATCTTCCACCAGATCAGGGTGTGCATTTACTACGGGCAGTAAGACACGTGTGTGTTGCGCTGCTGACAATAATAGCAATACGTCATATTGTCCATAGTAAACAGACACACTGACAACCTGATGTGGAAGAGAAGATATAGGTGAACAAAGTCATATTTACAGTTGTTTTTTTCTGATTACAGTCACATGAAATGATTTTGGTTCCTTTCCTGGACTTTAAATATCTCGGGACCTTTGCTGTCTAGGATGAGGGAGCTCTGGGTTTTTATCTAAAATGTCTTAATTAATGTTCTGAAGATGAATTAAATTTCTCAGGTGATTGGAACAGCATGACGGTTGGTGAGTAATTAATAACAGAATTGTCATTTTGATTGAACTAGCATTTTAAGTGACATTGAATGTATTTCAGAAACTGCTGATCTACTGGGATCTACAAATAATTATCTCCAGGGTTTACAGTTAATGGTTTGACAAAGAGAAAATACGCAATAAGCAGAAGTTGTGAGTAAAATATAACAGAGGTCAGAGAAAGGCAGAGTAATTTAAGCTGATAAAAAGACAACTGTGATTCAAACTAGCAGTCTAACGCAGAGGAGCATCTGTGAACACACAACACATCCATGTCCAACCTTAAAACAAATGAGCTACAGCAGCAGAAGAAGAGAACGTCATTGGCACTCCTATCAGCTAAAACAAGGCTCTGAAGCTAGTTTACATGGGCTTGCAATTGGACAATTTAATATTTAAAGTAATAGCTTGGTCTTATGAGTATTGGTTAATGTCACGTTATTAGAAGGTTCAGATCTAAATTTGCCATGAACAAAAGTATGGATTCATCCTGCCTTCAGTGGTTCACAATGCAGATGTAATGGTGAGGGAATGTTTTCTTGGTACAACTTTGAGCACATTTGCAGCATAATTTACATGCCAGAGCCTACCTGAAAATTGTTGCTGAAGATTTACATTTATTAATGACCACAGTTTTCTCATCTTGTAATGATAATTATAGCAGAGTAAAGAAAAAGGTCACAAAGCTTAAATCCTCGCAATCGGTTTGTTTTTTTTAAACCTCGACAATTCCATTAGATCTCAGTTCAGTGTGCTGGAACAAAAGATTTACATCATAGATATCAGAAAATGTGTAATGCTCACTCTTTCGCTGACTCGTGTCACTCTGGATCAACATCAGTATGCTGCACATCTCACTAAAATAAAATAAAATGAGGTAGATCTGAAGGCAATACAGAGTCCAACAATGGACTTACATTACTAAATAAGAGATGTAACACACAAAAATGTTAAATATGTTTCTACTTGAATAGGCTACCTTATTACAACTGAAAAAAATCAATCATTCTTACGAAAAGTCCTGTGATCACCACCAAAAAGATTAACAGAGATTAGACTTGAGTTTTCTAGCTTTTATGTACACTCAGTTTACTATTGAGCTCTAATCTGATGACTAAACTAATGAGAAGGATGGTAGTTTTACCGGAAGCTAAACTGACTTGTTAATAATGTTTTATTGACGCCGATGAAGCTAATCCTGCACAGAAATGTTTTGTTTTGTTTTGTTTTTCTGCTGACACTGGCCGTGTACATCAGCAGTGTTGTGGGCGGGGCGTTGAACAAGCTCTCTCAGGTGCGGAGGATGCGTCATCATGTGAGGCGCACTGTGATTGGCTGAACTCTGTGTATGGTATGAAGGTGCTTTGCTCTGCTGAGGTAGAGTCGCCCTTGTCGTAGTACAGGTTTATAACGAAGTTATACATCAGTTGCCTGTTTAACCAAATAACAGCTTAGTTTAAGTTGTAATGTACTCAAGCAATACTTATTCTTTTGGTAAACGAAGAAGCGGATAGTTTTTTGGACGTACTTGTTTTGTAAAAAAAGGTGAGTTCAGTATGTTTACATTGTCATTATTTACATATGTCCAGGTAAGATCGATGTGCTGGGCGTTAGCGAGGTTTCAGGTTTGCACAACCCTGTTTCTATGTGCAGTTTACCACAATATCTATCTATCTATCTATCTATCTATCTATCTATCTATCTATCTATCTATCTATCTATCTATCTATCTATCTATCTATCTATCTATCTATCTATCTATCTATCTATCTATCTATCTATCTATCTATCTATCTATCTATCTATCTATCTATCTATCTATCTATCTATCTATCTATCTATCTATCTATCTATCTATCTATCTATCTATCTATCTATCTATCTATCTATCTATCTATCTATCTATCTATCTATCTATCTATCTATCTATCTATCTATCTATCTATCTATCTAAATTTGCAATAATTCTACATAATAAACTAAAAAACTAACTATATAAATAAATGTATTTTATTTATTTATTTTTTTTTAAATATGTGAAAAATACTCCCAGAACCAGTGCAACTAGTGGGTTGATGCTAATAATCGTAGTAACTAATCTGATTTATTTTACAAATAAATTGCAATTTAAATGTAAATGGGGTTAGCAAAGAAAAATAATGCTTTTGAATGTTTTATTTTGCTGCCAAAATCATTGCATGAGGTAAAAACGATAGACTTGAGTGCAAATATTATCAGTCATAAAAATAGAATTTCAAAGGCTAAGTCAGTCTTTTTCAACAATTCAATTGCAAAATTTGAAAATGTCTAGTTCTAAAATGTTCCATACACTAATCTTGTTGTGACCTGTTGTATAATTAGAACAAAAAAAATTAATTTTGTTTGCAAAATATTGAAAAGTTGTCCTGGCTGGAAATTAATTCCTAATAATTAATATGAAAATGTGAGATTTACATTTATTTTATTTATTCTCACAGGCACACTGAAAACAGCAGGACATCAGACTTCATCCCTGATATGGAACTCCGGGAGGAATGGCAGGATGAGGAGTTTCCAAGGTATTCTGAGCTAACAAATGCATTCACCTAATCAGTCAGTCAGTACTAATGAGATTAAATATTGTTATTTTGGTAGACCACTTCCAGAGGACACACATAGTCCTGGTGATGAAGAGGAAAGTGCTGGAGCAGAGGGGAAAAAGCCTGGTAAGCACATTTCTCCATTTAATTACTGGTCAAAATATCTAATTATCTATATATCAGTCAGTCTATTTACATATCCAGAAATTTAGTTTTAAATTGTAAAACTGCTGATGATATTCCTTCAAAATTACAATTTTTTAATGTTTTTTGCGTAAACTAACAAAAAGCTTTTCAGACTTACAGATTTATTTTTTATTCAGATTTATTCAGAACTATTTTTAGACAACACAATACAGATGTTTTAACTTCAGAGGAGTTTTTCAATTACAACAATATAAAACATTTGTTATCCTGGCCTGTTGTCAAGTAAAATTTTGAGTTAAGGATTTTTTCAAGATTATTTAAAGAACAAACAACAGCATTAATTTCAATTATAAAAGATTTTTTAAATTATTTATTTATTTTTTTACTTTTAGTTAGTTTAATGTCCTTACCGAAGAACATTATTTATTACTTTCTCATTTACAATTAATCAGTTAACGGACTCTTTTATCCAAAGAGAAATCTTTCAAAACTTACTGACTACAAACTTTTGGGAAGAGACATTGGCTGCGTTCGAAATCGCCTACTACTTAGTAGGTACGGCATTTAAATTTAAATATACTACTTAACCATTAGAAAAGTACGTTCTATACAGTATGAATGTGAGCAGTATGATTGGAACTCAGATGTACTACATTCGTCATTTTGTCATGATCACGTGACCTACCCGCGTCAGTTGCATCACTTTACTCTCATTCCTGAATTCTCTCATGGGGCATCATGGGATAGCATAACTACATGGGATACACACTTTAGAATCTCACCGGAAGTAGTAAGTCATCCGGGTACTTCTTGCATACTAATTTTAGAATACTATGAATTCGGACATACTACTTGGTTTGCACACTGTTTTTATCGTATTATAAAGTATGAAAATATGCGATTTTGAACAGTCATCGTATTTCGGTGTCACCGCAAAATAAATATACAAAAGTGACTTTATATAATACTAGACTTCTTCTGTAAATCATAGTAAAATGCATTATAATAAGCATAACTATTTCTCAAGGCAAAAAAAAAATTAAAGCTTTTATACCATCATTTGTTTTGATGCTTCAAGCCCCATTTCAACATATACTGTATTTACAATTCAACATATAACAACCCATATACAGTAAATACATTTCATTTCTTCTTTTTCTCTAGTCCCTCCCACCAGCCTGGCCCTTACGGGTAATACAGTCAGAAAGAAGCGACTAGTGGCACCGACTCTGAGTCTAACACTGGATAAAACCTCTACTGACCGGAGCCTGAAATCGGATGAGTTTGAAGCTTCTGCCCTTTCACCGTCTCCTGATGACGACCTAGACATGGACATTAACCTGGAGGCCTTAGAAACGCCCTCAGATAGCGAGTCCTACAACTTTCCAGAAAGCATGCATGACTTGGAATGGGAAGGTATTAAAGTACAAATTAATTAAAAACTAACCATATTGATTTTGTTTGCACACATTGCTAGTTTTGTGGTGAACAATTCAAGTGCATGTCAATAAGAAAAAATATATTTTGCCCTTGTAATCTAAACTTGAAATCCTCCTGTTTGTTTTTAGTTAAATTCTCAGATTAGAGGCTCTATTTTGATGATCTAGGCGCGATATCTAAAGCGCACGATGCAAAGGCATTAAGTGCATGTGTGAATCCACTTTTGCTATTTTAAGGACGGAAAACTACGCTCTGTGCCCTGTCGTATGGTCTAACAGGGTTGTGCTTATTCTCTTAATGAGTTATGGGTGTGTTTTGAAAATAACGTGCATTAAACCAGTCAGAGTCTCACGTCCCATTCCCTTTAAGAGTCAGTTGCTATTTACATGGCAGACTTTGTAAGAGGAAAAACTGAGTGCTTCACTAGCGGGAAAACCGTTAAACAGACCATCTGCAGCACGAGGATAAAGAATGAGTCTCCTCCATTCAGCCTCTTTACTTTCTCAGTCTCTTTACTCTTTACTCCTTTACTTTCGTGAATAAGGAAAAAGTGTTGTTCACTATCCACTGAAGACACCCTTTAGCATACATATTTAATTTTGTTTGTTAAGTGTTAAATTCAGTTCTAATTTCCAGCAAACTAATAAATGAACAATAATAACGAAGTGTGGTCAAAAAAGTTATATCCAAACACATGTCTTATTCTTATGCCCCATATGGTGATGCATAAATCTCAAAAACCTGACAGGTGAACAAATCTAAACTTGTTTTTATTAAAACAAATATAAATATGCATAAAATATATAATACTGCTAATAATAATAATAAAATTATACAAAAGCAAATTTCATAAATAAACTGAATTGGATTTGCTATTTAAACATTGTGTTGCAAAACATGAAAATTAGGTTGCACTGGTCTGAAAATAGCAACAAATTGCGGCAAAAGCATCTTGCCCCTTTTTGCACAGGGTTTATGATAGGGACCTATGTTTGTCTGATGTATTGGCCATGGCTAAGATAATTAGCCACGCCCCTCCAACTGTCAGTTTTGACAACAAACAGAAATGGTGAGGAGGCGGTGTCTGTTAGGTTGAAATTCTGTGAATTTCTTTTTATTTACTATTTCTTGCTTATTGGTTTTAATGAGCATACAAACAAAACAAAAAAGGACATTTTAAACAAGGATAGCAATAAACACAAGAGTGGTAACAAAAGTCATAAAACAATAGAGAATACAAAAAACCTAATAAATGAATAAAGTTCTGCTGTGATTGGTTAAAAACCTATTATGAAAATACATCAGAGGTGGTCAGAGAGTCAGAGGTTCATTAGAGGCATCTATATTTTTTGAAAGACATTCCCTTTGATTCTTAGGTAGTATGTATGTTCATAATTTCAATTGCATTGTTTCACTCAAGAGTTGTATGAATAGTTCAAATGTTGGAGGCTGTTGTTGGTTCCAGTAGAGCAAAATGCATTTTTTGTCAGATTAGGAAATGATGCCAATCAAGTGTCTTATTCAATTACGTACCAAAGAGGTATAGTCTTGTGTGTTGGAGTTTGCAAAGCAGTGGCTGTGAAGTCCGGTACTATTTTCCAGAAAACTCTTAGCGTTTTGCATTCCCAAAACTATGCATGATTGATCCTGAATAGGTTTTACATCTGACACCTGGATGGTACATTGCGGTATGTTTTGTTCAAATAAAGTGAGGTCAGATGCAATCTCCCACTGATCCTCAATAAAATTGTATTCCAAATCTCTTCGCCACACATTTTCAAGTGATCCCAGTGAAGAGTTGTAATAGTCTAATAGTGCAGAATATTTCTGAGAGATCTTTCCTTTCCTGATATTTCTGAATGAAATGCCTACTTTGCTGCATCCAATCAGCTTGCAGTAGAACAAACAAGCCACGCCCACTGTTTTCTCATTTACATTCCATTTCTCTAGGACCTGCGTCACAATAAGGAGAAAAAAATGATCCCAGCTTCCAGTTCATGCAGACTTTAAGATCATTTATTTATTAATTTATAATTATTTTAGGTTGTTTTAACCTTTAATGGATAGAATAGAGCAGAGAATTGACAGGAAATATTTGGGAGCAGAGAGAGGGAAAGGGTTAGCAAAAGAACTCGAGCCGGGAATAAAACTCAGATCACTGTGAGCACCATGTTGCAATATGTCGGCGCACTTAACCACTAGGCCAGGGATGTCCAAACTTGGTCCTAGAGGGTCGGTGTCCTGCAAAGTTTATTTCCAACCCCAATCAGACACACCTGGGCTGGCTAATAAAGCTCTTACTAGGCTTTCTATAAATATTCTTGGAGGTATGTTGACTGTTGAGGCAAGTTGGAGCTAAAATCTGCAGGACAGCGGCCCTCCAGGACTGAGTTTGAACACTCCTGCACTAGGCTATTGGATCATTTATTTTGATCAATTGCCTATTGCTCAAAATATTTATAATTTCCTTGAGGAAACCATTGAATCACTGCCTTACTGTGGCCATTGCAGATGATCTTCCACGCATGGGTAAAGCATCGATCAGAAAACCCAGTTTATTAGAGCACGCAGAGATGGGACACTTGGAGTTGGATCAAGTAGACGATTATGGCCGACGATGGAGGCATTTCCATATTGGCGGACAAGACTATCAAGTCAACATGAGTGTTTTGGAGCCATACCTCCAAGTACTCTCACACGGAGGTGAGTTTTAGCTTAAATTTAGCTTAAATTGCGGAGAATTACACACTAAACTTGACCATCTTTTGTAGGGTACTATGGAGACGGATCGACGGCCATCATCATGTTTACCTCCTGCTACCTTCCAGAAAACACAACAGAACACTATGAGTATGTGATGGACAACCTGTTCAGGTAAAATGGGTTTCTCTGCAGATATTAATTGGAGATTGTTCATTTTTGGGTAAATGCTTATTTATGGTTTCTTTGGGTTTAGGTACATCATTGGCACACTGGACTTGATGGTGTCTGAGAATTACATTTTGGTGTATCTGTGTGGAATGGCTCCTCGCAATAAGATGCCTGGCATTAAGTGGCTGCGACAGTGTTACATGTCCATTGACAGAAGGTGAGTCGTACTAAAGGTTATGTGATTTATGAGCCTATTAACAGTTTCATGCTCAAAGACAATGATAAACAAACATATCTGGGAAATGCAAAATATCCATGGTGAGATTTTATTCTCTTGGATCTGATGTCTATTTTTATTTAGTGCTATTCATTCATTTTAATTTGGCTCAGTCCCTTATTTATCAGGGGTCACCACAGCGGAATGAACCACCAACTATTCCGGTATATGTTTTAGGCAGCGGATGTCCTTCTGGTTACTACCCAGTACTGGGAAACACCTTCACAAACACACACACACACTCATACAGAAGGGCGGATTGGCCATCTGGCAATTCTGGCAAATGGCAGAAGGGCCGGACCATTTTTTAAATGTGGGCCGTTCAGTTTTTTTTTTTTATATATGTATTGTTTTTACATGCTGGCAGATTTTATCTCTTGCAAAATGTGAATATGATGATGATGATGATAATAGTAATAATAATAATATTAAATGTTAAGCATTTGGCCTAAACCATGACGGCTGGCTGGTTTTGAGATGGACCGACCCAATCTGAGGTTACGCGGACGTAATTAGAATCTGGCAAGAATGTCAAACAAAATAAGTGCTAATTGTCAGAGATAGTGCCAAAAAGCTCAGAGAAAGCAAATAAGGGCTCTAAAAACAGACGCTGCCAAAAGCATAAAATTAACTTTGCTCCAGTCACATACATTAAATGTTTAAATATCTATTATATATGGTACTGCTTATATAATTGCCCCATCTGTACACCAATATAAGTAGTGAATGTGTGTGTCCGTTGGTGGGGCTTTGTCGATGTGATAATGTGGGCTGGTGTGGCTACTGTGCCAGGGCTGTATTTTAGCCCAGTCCGTCCCTTCATACACTATGACCAATTTAGTCAATCCAATTCACCTATAGCGCATGTCTTTGGACTTTGGGGGAAATTGGAGCACTTGGAGGAAACCCACGCAAACACATGGAGAACATGCAAACTCTACACAGAAATGCCAACTGACCCAGCCGGGACTTTATCCAGCGACCCTCAAGCTGTGAGGTGAAAATGCTTTCTACTGAGCCACCGTGCCCGCCCAAATAGTGATATTATTGGTCAGTATTAAATTTCTTTACGTTGTGGTCAACAGAAATGATTGGTGGAGAAAGTTTAAATGCATGATTCCACATTCTGTCACTGACTTCTCAAACTACATTTTTATTTGTGCCCTCTAGTGGTGAAAATTACATGCTGTGCCTTTGGAATCAACAGAATGTAATTGTTTATGGGGAATTGTCTTTATGTTCAAATATTTACTTTTGAGACAGCCTGTAGAATTTTATTTGATTTTATTATTTATTTGAATCATTTATTTTATTTTAAACAGCTTTTTGCTGTTGTTACCACTGCTGTAGTACTTTTGTAGCTGCACTAATTCTGTTTTTGTATAATATTTAACTTAATTTATAAATAATAATTATTACAGTAATCATTTAATTTATATATTTAATTTGATTTAATGTTACTAAACTAAGCTCAGGGTGGCACAGTGGCTCAGTGGGTAGCACTGTCACCTCACAGCAAGAAGGTCACCGGTTCAAGCCAGTTGGCATTTCCATGTGGAGTTTGCATGTTTCGCGTGGGTATCCTCCACGTGCTCCGGTTTCCCCCACAGTCCAAAGACATGCAGTATAGTTAAATAAATTAACTAAATTGGCCATAGTGTATGTGTGTGACTGAGTGTGAGAGTGTAATGGTTTTTCCCAGTACTGGGTTGCAGCAGGAAGGACAACCCCTGATAAATAAGGGGCTAAGTCTAAGGAAAATGGATGAATAAATGAAACTGAACTTAATTAAACTTTGTGAAAGTGTTGTTAGCTGCAAGATTAATAATATCACAAACTTTGATATGATGCAATGAAGTATATGAAAGTTAGACAAAAGATTGTTCTTAACTGCTTCATTGAGGGAAATGACTACAATCCCATGAAGCATTGTGAACAGCACAACCAAATTAAATCAATAACGAAACAAAAACACAATTCAAATAAACAATAAAAACAACAATTAAAAAGTTTATGGTTATATATATAGAAACAAAATATTTAAATCAGTCCTGGGCAAAGATTAATCGTGATTAATCACATACAAAATAAAAGATGTGTGTATTAAATATATTAATTATGTATATGTTATACACACGCATGCATAGAAACAAAATTATACAAAACAATTCAGAATAATATATAATTAGTATAATATACATACATATTTTATATCTAAATATAATTAAACATTTTCTCAAATATTTGCATGCATGTATGTATTAATAAATACATAATAAATATACACAGTAGCACACACTCACACTTTAATTATGTCAAAACAAACTTTTATATCGGATGAGATGTTACTTGATGCATCTTTAATGAGACAAGTTTTTGCCCAGCACTAATTTAAATGTTATATATTTCATTATTTTCAGGCTTTTTTGAGAGAGTTCAAAATAGCAATCAATACACGTGTAAAATCTAGTCAGTTTTGTACTAATTAAGTTCAAAGAGAAAACTGGTTTTAAACTAATAATATGTCACACACAGTGGCTCATTGGTTAGCACTGTCACCTCACAGCAAGAAGGTCGCTGGTTCGATTCCTAGCTGGGTCAATTGCTCCGGGTGCTCTGGTTTCCCCCATAGTCCAAAAACATGCGGTACAGGAGAATTGAATAAACTAAATAGGCCACAATGTATGTGTGTGAATGAGTGTGTATGGATGTTTCCTAGTACTGGGTTGCAGCTGAAATGGCATCCGCTGTGTAAAACATATGCTGGATAAGTTGACAGTTCATTCCACTGTGGTGACCCCTGATTAATATAGTGATTAAGCCAATGGAAAATGAATGAAGAATATGTCGTAATAATGGTGTTTTTATAATAACACACACAGTCTGCAGTGTAAATTTCCATCAGTTCCAGAAGAGGGCGTCTGTGTTTAAGCTCTGTGTTGCTCTCCCTTATCTTTAGTTCCTTTTGGACATGAGCACCACCTCTACTCTCTTTCTTAATGCCCCTCGTATGAAATACGATAGGAATGCTGCGGACTTGTTCATAGAGTGCCTTGTTATCAGACATTCCTCAGATAACCTCTGACCTGCTCTCAGCTGTCATGTTTTTCTGTTGTTCTTGCTATATTTAGACAGTTATAGATTGCATACTTCAATGGGAATTAGTTTCTTGAGGTTTATCATAACTCTCCAAGGCCAACGCGGCTGTAATAGACGAAAAAGTTATCTTTAAAAAATGTAAATCACAGTGTGTTTATGTAGACATTTTCAATTGTGTAAAGGATAGCAAATGTAGTCATTATTACCATTACTCCAAAACAAATCCGGCAGTGATCGGGATCTTAAAAGTTTTATTATTATTATTATTATTACTATTATGATTGAAGAACCAATGGAAAATCATATTAAATGGAAGTGTCTTCTTCTCACATTGAGGTGAAGGCCATTCTCATAAAAGTGTTTGTGCGCTCGGGGAATTCAAGGTCAGCTTATCATGTGAGATCGGTTTAGGAAATGTGGAACTGAAGGAGTGCGGGATGCTCTTGAAAGGCCTGATTTGTCATTCCTGTTTTTCTCCATTGCGTCATGCAGTGAAGTTTCCTCCGCAGACAGTCATACACTGCTGACTCTACAGACAGCAACAGACAACAACACAAACAAACAGTGTCAGGCATGACTTCACTGAAGCAAAGAGGAGAAATAACTGACAGAAGTCTGTGTGAATGTCGCTCAATCTACAGGAAAACCCCTGAGATCCGCTCTTTCAGATTTCTTTCAGCATAATGTTCATAGAAACACACAGACTGCTCTGAAACCTTGAGATTGCACTAAGGCACTTTAATTTTAATTTTATTTGAAGAAAAAAAAAAGTCAAAATAAATAAATCAAAAAATAAAATCAAAATCAATCAAAATATTTATTTATTAAGTGAGTTTGAGAGATTTTGAGATGTCAGCTTGTGTCATTTTTGTTTACATATTAGCATAAGATGTATTGGGGATCCTTCCTAAATGTTTAAAGATGATAGTTTTATTAACTTATGATATTATTAAGAGTATTATTGTGATGATATTAACACTACACACTCAATCTTATCTTTTGTATAGCATTAAGTGTAATGTCTTTAAGCATTACCATTCCTTAAAAAAACTATAAAGCATTTTTGACTAGGAAGTGTTTAAACAAATCTTCTTCAACTCCAAGTCTGTCCGTGTCCCATGATTCAACGCCCTCATGGCTTCAAACGGGTCAGGGTGGTGCTGTGCCAGTCAGCGATTGCTCTTGTGTGTCATCATCAATCCAGAGAAGCTGACTCCAAACCAGATATCTGAAACTAAATGTTGTTGTGTGCATGTGATGCTTCAGACTGATTTAGCTTTCTGTGAATCCTCTACAGGTTAAGGAAAGATCTGAAAGGGCTGTTTGTGGTTCATCCGGCCTGGTATGTTAGAGCGCTCATCACTGTCATCAAACCCTTCATCAGGTCAGCACAAATCTCTTGTTTTAGGATTGTTTTTTTGGTGTTACTTGGTCGACACTGTGCTGATTGACTGAACATTTTTGTTGTTTTTTTTGTTATGAAGGCTTTTTGAAGTTCACATTCTCTGTCTCTCTCTCTTTCTCTCTCTCTCTATCTCTCTGTGGCAGTGAGAAGTTCAGCAGGAAGATGCGCTTCATCCACAGCCTGCAGGAACTGGCAGAGTTTGTTCCTGTGGAGCAGCTGCAAATCCCAGACTGCATCAGAGAGTGAGTGGCCACACCGCCATCACACACTATATATATATATGTGCAGTTGAAGACAAAATTATTAGCTAATAATTCAGGAGGGCTAATAATTCTGACTTTAACTGTGACTGAAATCTCAACTTATAGAGGTGAAATATTTAAAAATAACACTTTACTGTAAGGTTGCATTCACTAAAATTTGCAATCAGTTGTTTTGATATTTAAGGGTTGGTAGGGTCATTTCTGTGTGAAGTTTGCAGGTTCTCCCTGTGCTTTCCCTCAGGGTGCTACAGACCCTATGTGGTGTAGGTGAACTGGAGAAACTAAATTGGCTTTAATGTGTGAATGGAAGTGTGTGAATGTTTCCATGCACTGGGGATTTACGACTTAGTGTCCGCTCAGTGCTGGGTTGTGACTGGAAGAGCATCCGCTGCATAAAACATTTGCCAGAGTAATTGGAGGTTCATTCCTCTGTGGCAACCCCTGATAAAGCATTTAATAAGCCAAAGGAATGTGAGTGAGTGAGGGAAAAGGTTGGTTCACTGAAAATGAAAATGATTTACTCACCCTCAACTAGGCTTTCCATGATTTTCTGTTATCTCTTAAACTCGTAAAAGAAATGTGTGGGAGAAACAAAGCTTTCCAAAACCTCAAAACAACAGAACTGATTGCTTAACAAAATTATTTACTGGTTCAAAGTGTACAAAACACCAAATTCTAAGAACACCTGCTGGTCAAAAGCATTATATATTTATATTATATACAGCTATGTTCTGCGGTGGCACAGTGGGTAGCGATGTCGCCTCACAGCAAAAAGGTCGCTGGTACAAGCTTGGCTGGGCCAGTTGGCATTTCTGTGTGGAGTTTGCATGTTCTCCAAGTGTTTGTGTGGGTTTCCTCCGGGTGCTCCAGTGTCTCCCACAAGTCCAAAGACATGCGCTATAGGTGAATTGGGTAAGCTAAATTGTCTGTAGTGTATGAGTGTGAATGAGAGTGTATGGGTGTTTTCCAGTGCAGCTGGAAGGGCATCTGCTGCGAAAAACATATGCTGGATTAGTTGGCAATTCATTCCTATGTGGCGAACCCAGATAAGTAAAGGGACTAAGATGAAAAAGAAAATGAATGAATGAATAAGAATAAATATGAATAAAGCCAATATTTTTTCATTTTTAATAATACAGTGAAGTTTAATTATTCGTTATTATATTGCTTGCCAGTTATAAAAGTTGGTTATAACACTGTTCTGTAAATAATTTACGTAAAGAGATAGTTCACCCAAAATTGGAAATCACTTCATCATTTAATCTCCCTCCTCTTGTTTCAAACATTTATGAGTTTCTTTACACTTTTGAATACAAAAGAAGATGATTTGAAGAATGCTGAAAACCTGTAATTGACTTGAAAAACAAATACTATGGATGTCAAGACTTCCAGGTTTCCAGCTTTCTTCAACATATTTTCTTTTGTGTAAATGATGTCAGAATGTTCCCTTTTTTCTGAACTATCTCTTTAAAGAGTTCCCCATGCATCTGATTCCTTGTTTTCTATTGTTGTCGTGCAGGTATGATACGCAGCTGAACAGGTGAAGGTGTTGCTGATGGAGCGAGATCGCTGGTGTTTATACTGTACAGGTCACATACATGTGGGATTCAGAACAGCCTGAGGTCAATGGTCAAAGCTTTAGGGCAAATGACAGAAACACAGTTTCCTAACAGACAGCACTCTTTGAGGAAATACAAAACAGCCAGTGTTGTCCTTCAGAGAGCTGTGTGCAGCTGTGTGTGTCAGGAGAGATCTCAAGCCTTTAAACTGTTACACAAAAACACACACAATCCTCCACTGTTTGCCCAGAACTTAGAAAATGACTTTATTATAGAGCCCTGACCTTTCCTAAAAGATATGATCTTCAAGAATGAGACGCTGAACACACATTTTCACTAAATATATACAAAACTTGCGGTGAATGTTCCCAGATTAAGGGTATATATTATTTAAAATAAGGTTTCATTGTTTTGTTTCATGGCTCTTTTTTAATTATTTGCACTAAATTATTAGTAAATGTCACTGTAAGTATACTCTTATGAAAAGCTGAATCATTTAAAATCCAAATGAATCATTATTGGTTTCAAGTTTTGGTAACACTTTACAATAAGGTTGTATTAGTTAAAGCATTTACTAACATGACTAAACAATCAACATTACATTTATTACAGTGTTTCTTCATGTTAGTTCAAGAAAATCAATTTCAGTTTGCTTTATTTTTTTCATTCAAAACATCACAATAAATTATAATGCAGAACTAAATTACGTTGCATCAGACCCAACAAGAACTTAAACATCAAACACCATAAAACCTAACATAATAAATAAGCCTTTATCATTTTTTTTATAATTATAATGTAACCTAATTTTTTTTTAAATCACAGAAGGGAATAAATGAGTACTTTAATAACTATTGCAGAGTTTGCTTTTATAATCATGATGGCTTGAGAAAGCCAACATACTGTTATACTATATAAACTTCTTCTTCTGAGACTCATTTCTTATTCATCTCCTCCTAGATCGTTCATACTACAACCACCAAACTTACTACAAGCCTCCAAACTGGACTGACTTGAGTTTCTATATCTTTTCCAACTGATCCGACTTACGGTTTACCGAAAACTGATCTGGAAAATCTTAAAGTCCCATTGACTTAACATTGAACCAAACTTTATGACTTCATATCTTTGCGCCAGATTGTCATACAGACTTAAGGTTGGGCTCATTTAACTCAGACTTCGAATCTGCCAATCACTGACCTTTCAACTTACTAGTCATACTCTAGCAACCACTTACGGCACCCTAGCAACTGTTCCATTCACTTCCATTATGAAAACTGCTATTGGCATACATTCTCAAGCCACTATAAAGTTTGTCTCTGACCTTTACTTTTCTAGTTATAATATTAACATCTTATTCTAATTTAACTATTTATTAATTTAAAATTACATACTAGCTACTCAATAATATTTAAAATATGGTCGTATTTAAGTCTTCTAATGACTGGATAAAAACGAAACTTTTCACGAAACTGCGCTGATTTGATCCTTAGGCTTCACTAATGCTTGCCTGATGGCATGAGCGTGAGTAGACTAGGGCTATTTGCCCTAGACAGATAGCATTGTTGATCCCTCGATAGGTGTCATTTTGACTCCAACAGACCATTCAACTGACTTTAATGGTGTTCTTGTACAGTTATACAGTTGTTCATTGTAGGCATGGGCCAGTATAAGATTCTGACTATGATAACCTTGGATAAAAATATCACAGTATCACAGTATTGTAATGACTGCTCTAAAACATATTCTTTTTAAATGTCTGAGTAAAAAACAAAAACTTGTTTCCCTTTTAAACTCAAAAGATTTTATTTTAAAAACTTTTAAAATAATTTGGAGCAGTAAACATGTCAGACTAAATAATTCAAATGAGTTATTAACTTGTGCCGTCTTTATTAGATCCAAAAAACACTGATTTCTTTACATTGTGAAATGACATCTTCAGATATCTTTTCTGCTGCAGATACTGCTGTCCTAAAAAACAAAAAAGTGAATAAAAAAACATGTATCTTAGGAATAGTTTTACAGAAAATTCTTTTTAAACCTTGACTTTTCCAAACTTGAAAACGGTTATCGTCCCATGCCTAGTTCATTGTTACACAGTTCATTAGCTAATTCTAACAAGCATGAATTTGGATGTTAATAATGCATTAGAAAATGTTGAACTTTGATTACTAAACATTGTATTAGTTCACATTAGTTAAGGATTTACCTAATGAAACCTTACTGTAAAGTGTGACCAAGTTTTCAAACTACTACACTACCTGACTAAAGTCTTGTTGCCTATCTAAGTTTTACGAACAACAAATAATAACTTGACTTCTAGTTGATCATTTGGTATCAGAAGTGGCTTATATAAAGGGCTAAAGCCTCTAGATTATGCTGATTTTACCAAAATAGAATAGGGTATATGCCGAGCCTGTATATATACCTGTTATTGTGAACTTTTTCTCATTTTATACGGTTCCTTATTAAGCATCGATGTTGTATTGTCATTAAAATACATTCAGTTAAATAAACTTTAACATTTATTTAGTTGCTCAAGCGTAAAACGAGACAAAAAGCCGTTTACTCGCACGCACCAGTCAGAATCGGCAGGCTAACACAGAAGCTCCATTGAATATACTGGGATAAAATAAATGCTCATATTATAAAGATATGGCGGGGGGAATGTAATTTAATGCAGTGCTTCTTGTACAATCGGATATCACTCAGATAGTGGAGATCACTGATTTTTAAAGAAAACAGACCTTTAACGCACTGGATTTTGCATTGCCATTCAATTCGCCGGAAGCGCTTAACCCAGGTTAATGGCAAATTAAAAGTCCTATTAGCATGCTTCGGCACATACCCCATTTGATCGTCTTGATTTTTGATTAATTAAGACCATAAGGTCTGACTTTGCTTAGCCAAAAGTCTTGTCAGTTAACAGAAATAATGTACAGTATAGAATATAAAGGTGCAGTGGAAACAGAACTAATATTGTGTGTGACTCCCATGAGCTTGGAGGACTACATCCATACATCTCTACAGTGACTCAGATAACTTAATAATAAAGTCCTCTGGAATGGCAAAGAAAGCGTTTATGCAGGACTCCCAGAGTTCATCAAGATTCTTTAGATTCATTTTCAATGCCTCCTCCATCTTACCCTTAGACATGCTCAATAATGTTTATACCTGGTGACTGGGCTGGCTAATTCTGGAGCACCATAGCCTTCTTTGCTTTCAGGAACTTGGATGTGGATGCTGAAGTATGAGGAGCACTATCCTGCTGAAGAATTTGCCCTCTCCTGTGGTTCGTACTGTAATGAGCAGCACAAATGTCTTGATACCTCAGGCTGTTGATGTTGCCATCTACTCTGCAGATCTCTTGCACACCCCAAATCCTGAATGTAACCCCAAACCATGATTTTTCCTTCACCAAACTTGACTGAATTCTACAAGAATCTTGGGTCCATGCAGGTTCAAGTAGGTCTTCTGCAGTATTTAAGATCATTAAGATGCAGTTCAACAGATGATTCATCAGAAAAATTGACCTGCCACTTTTCCAAATGATCAACTAGAAGTCAAGTTATTAATTGTTGCTTCTACAACTGAGATCGAGGACAAGACTTTAGTCAGGTTGTGTATCTTCCCGTTTTCATCAAATTCTAATTTTTTGGGGTTTTGGATCTTTTTCTAATTTGGTTTGTAGCTTGTCTTTATATGTGTGTTCTGTAAAATACACTTTACTTGAGCTTCAAGTTCTCCAAAGTTTAATGTAAAATAAGCAAGTAATTACAACCAGGAGTGTGTAAAACTACTGTAAGGAGTCAGGTTGTTTGTTATATTCCTGTATATAGCTGTTACATGTTTAACTGGTCTCGGAATATAGTAGAGAAGAATGCTGCTGCTGCCTGTAAAGTGGCCCATTGAATGTGCTTTCATTTAATAGAGTTCCTATGTGCAAATATTTATAAAAGGCCACTGTTGAACAACCTGAGCTTTCAAACTGCACACGTACGCCATACTACATGAATGTCTTGTCTTCGGTATTTAAGGAAATAAAGGGTTTTATGAAACACTTGCAGCGTTGTGCTGTTATTTATTATTAAGAAACAGGCTGTGGAAATATTGTATCGACTTTCAGGAAACCGGCTCTGGAGTGAGGAAGTGAGGTAGCGGAGAGGTGAAACATTTTTCTTTATGCATTGAAGTCACAAACAGGAACAGCGAGAGAGCTGCTGGAAGGTTAAATAACAGATTGGTGATGTAACTGTATGTGCCTGGTGTAGAGCTAAATGAGGCAGTAATAATGGTTCATGTTTTAGATTAGTAGGTGATTCATACACTTCAAGAAAGATTTGTCAGATTCAGTTATTGATTTGTTGCCAGAAAAAATGATGAAATTAAAAGATGTGTGGCTTGTTTGTGTAACGGATCCTAAAAATGTTTCATTTTTAAAAAGGGTGTCATGTTTTTTGAAACAATCCCTGAGTCAGATCTTTCAAAACAAGCAGAAACACTGTATTACAGTTTATTAGAGTTTTTTTTCTTTTCTTTTATTTTTTGTGGCAAAGTAATAATTTTCATGCATTTTTTAAAGTGTTTCTAGCTAAAAAAAATTTCAATCAAGAAGCTCTTTCTATGTTTACTGAAAACAAGACAGTCATAATGAAGTATTTCCTTAAAACAAGCAGCGCAATCTGCCGGTGTGAGCAAAATAATCTAAAAACAAGATCACGTTGCATGCTCTAAAAGGAATAACTTACAATTTTGACCCTGAAAATGAGACCATCATTTATATTTGTCTTGAAAATGTTTCTTGCTAAATAGAGCTTGATTTTTTAACTAGAAACAAGATAAAAAAAGGTATGAAAATCTCGCTTTTTACTTTATCTAAACCAAATATGGCTGACCTATAACATTGCAATTCACCTGAAGCTGATGGAGTTGAAAATTGGATTGCAAATGGCACGATTCATTTTAAGAAGACCTAAACAGAACATGGGAATAATAATCAAATATCCTTGTTTTTTTTTTTTTTTTTTAAATGAACCTTTATGGATACATTTTATTTCATTCCCTTCAAATTTCTCACAGTCAGTCCATGATAGCCTGTTTTACCTTTTTTTTCCCAAGCTATTGTTAAAAGAAGGAAATTAAAAGGCAGTGTGGTCTACGCCGATGTGAGACTTGAGTAATCTTCATGCCAAAGGTCTAT